TAACCTTTAATTGTAGCTCAACCTTTACATTAACCTGACCTATTGGCTAACCTTTATACTAACCTTATTTGTAGCTTAACCTTCACACTATTCTTTCCTGTTGCCTAATGTTCACAATAACCCTCCTTGTAGCCTAACCTTCACACAAATCACCACTGTAACTAACTTTAAGTCAACTGTTACAGTTACCCTCCCTTTAATCCTAACCTTCACAATAATCCTAAACTTAACACTCCCTCTAACTAACTTTCATACAAACCCTTGTGTCATGTACCTGTCTGGTTTTGAACCTGGGACCTTCTGGTTCTGTGCTGCAGCTCTGTCCGCTCTGCCATTGGAGGGTCTGAGTCTCTGCAGCATATACTCTGCTTGGTGCTTCTACCCCTGGAACTCTTTAGCTTCCAGTTGCAGTCAATCTGTAATCAGCTCAGCTGACAAGACCTCATGCACACAGGATGTTTTAAAAATGCTCCTACTCTTGTCACTTGTCAAAATGTCTAACGCTTTTACCAGCGTTTAGGTGTGTTTACAGGCGTCAAGCGTTTGGGTGTTAATTCATTTAATTGGCCAGAATAATCATTTATTATGGCCGTTATAGTGAATTAAAGCTCAAGCGCTTAATGCGCCTAGCGTTAACACGCGTTTAAGCATGTTTACACGCATAAAGCATTTTTTTTCTGTTAAAACACTGCTGCTTCTGGATTCACTGGACCTGAGTTTTTTCCCTGATAGTAAATGCTACTGCTACTAAATGCGTCTAAAAAAAAGTCTATGTGTGCATTGAAACATAGGATAACATAGAGAGCCATTTGGAAGCAGTTAAAAAAAAAGCCTGACACCCTTAAAAGTGGCTGCAAAAATGCCCTGTGTGCAAGTCAGCTCTGTCAGCTCTGTGCTGTGTGCCCTGTGTGCAAGTCAGCTCTGTGCCCCTTTGCATGGATTTGTATCCTGGGTGTATGCTCTCCTGTTGAACTGCTGAACGTCTGGATTTGTGGACTGATTTCTGGACTACTCTTTTGCCTGATGATTCTGCATTTTCCCGCCAGTCTGTATATGACCATGCTTTTGGATTCTGATTTAGTACCTTGCTGCCAAAGATTTGTTGCGACCAGGCCTATGTGACTATGCTTACACTTCAACCCTCAGCCAAAGCTCCACTTCGGACAATAACTTACCACAGATACCTTACACCTTGCTTATGAAAACAAATCCACTTGTTTGCATACTAACTTCTGTTGCATTGGTATCTTCTGTACCAAAGACCATCCTTCCAGTTCTGACAAGCAACAGTGTCAAAGTCCCATCACTATCATCTACATCTTCCTTTTTATAGCCTCAGACACTGTTGAAAGCAACAGGTGAGCAGAAAGGAGCAAAAGAGAGGAATGGCAGAGCAGATTTACAGGCAAAAGGAGATAAAAGAGGATAAATCAAAGACACAGGCAAGAGAAACTGGTAGGAAAGGTATGGAGGAGGGTGGAGACACTGGCAGGAGAGACAGATGAGAATGGAAAATAATAGTCCAAAGACCAAAAAAAGAGAAGCAGTCCAAAGCAGAGCTGGAGAATCAGGCAGGAGTTGGACGATAAGGGTGGAGATACAGACTAAAAATTACTAGAAGTGCAGAGACACATGGAAGTGAGTCAGGTGAAAATAGTACAAAGCTGGGTAGAGACACCATAAGGAGACACAAGTGAGAGCAGGGTGGAGACACAGGCAGGAGAAATGGGGAAAGCAAGGCAGAGACATAGGCAGAAAAGAAAAGTGATGGCAGGACAGACACACAGACAAGAAATAAGGGCAAGGGCAGAACAGAGACATAGGCAGCAAAGACAGGTGAGAGCAGAGTGGAGACATGAGCAAGAGGGATAAGGGAGAGCAGAGTGGAGACGGTCAAGAGGGACAGGTGAGAGCAGGGTGGAGACATGGGCAGGAGAAATGGGGAAAGCAAAGCAGAGACACAGGCAGGAAAGAGGAGTGTAGGTAGGACAGAGACACAGATAAGAAAGAATGGTGAAGGAAGGACAGAGATACAGGGAGGTGGGAAAGGTGAGAGTAGGGTGCAGACATGGCCAGGAAAGACGAGATAATGATAGGGTAAGGACATTGGGAGGAGAAACAGGTGAGAGCGGGATGGAGATTCAAGCGAGACAAGTAAGAGCAATGCAGCAACACAGACTGATATGCAGGAAACATACAACCAGTAGAGAAAAAAACAGGGTAAGGTATATAAACATAAAATGCACAAGAAGCCAGAGAAACCAAGAATGAATCCAGAAGGAATCACTAGAATCCTTACAAGAAGTAGCACAGATTTGCAATAAATCTCCAAAAATCCTTGCAATATATATAGTTGACCTAGTGAACATATTTTTTAATAACAAAACTGGTGTTTCAAAATGCATGCATGAAATGAACGTTAATAAAATGTTCTCCCAGTGAAAAGATGGCACAATGATTGCTTACACACAAGTGGGAATTAAACTGCTATGGGTAAATTGTGGCTCTGTTTCCATTCAGTGCACTTCCAGCACAGCTATGGGACTTTGGGATAAGCTCTTCCCCAAACTAGTTTTACCACATCATGAATCATTCATTGAATATAAGCGCTGAAATTCATAGTGATGAAGCAGGAAGAAGGGCTGAGACTTGGTAAATACATTTCTCATAGACGTATCTACACAGAGTAAATTTATCACTTGACTTAAATGGGTCTTGTGTGACAGTTTGACTGTGTATGGACAGAAAATGATTGTAGCATGTAAGTGAGGACCCAGTGCCCACTTCATGATGATGTTGCATAGCTGGAAGCAGCAGATGACTGAGAACATTTTGCATGGGACACTTGGCCACCCACTCTTACAAGATATTCTCCCATAAGGTATGGGCGATGGTCTAGTTCAGGAGGAGGGCACACAATCATTGCCCTCCCTTTCCTGGACACCCAAGCTGCATGCCTGGAGAGATGTCACAAGGAGAAATCATGAGCCACAGTGTGGACTAGAAATGTCTGTGGCTGTGAAAACTGGTGAGGCATTTTAAGTGGCATAACTATATTCATAAGATCTCTTGTGCAGTCTAGGCCAGGGAGAGCATCCTATGCATAGCAGTAAAGAGAATGGAGATTTAACATGTGCTGTCAAATCAGTGGCAAATCAGAACAATGAGAGTTTGCTTCTCCTTTGAAAGTTTGAACCATTGTAAACATTACTGAAGACTACAAAGGCATCCCTGACTGAACCTCAGCATGAGAGGGAGAGCTTACTTAAGTTGTATGTTTCTGATAACTTGGCTTCTCTTAGAACTGAGGTCGTGATAGTACATAGTGATCCCATATTCTGCTTTTCTTTCCACTATGTACTTTCTATTGCAGTTTAGTAGTGATTGACACATTTTTCCGAAGGTTCAGTTAAACTGGTTCGAAATTCAACAAACGCAAACTTTGTGGCAAATCCCATTACCGTCAATGGGGCAAATCCTGCTGTTCAATTCTTACCATTTTTTGGATAATAGGCAAACTTAGGTAGGCCTAAGATTGTGGGCAGGCAAAGGGGAAGTGCCAATAACGGTGAGCACAGCATGTTGTGCCAAAATGGAGGGGGTCTATAATGTAAGCCGTGTACCGGGGTGGGCACCCCAGGATACAGTGAAGTCACAAACGAGGAAAGCAACCCCAACACCAGCTTTTGTCACAACAGAATTTTACTTAGATGTGGCAAATAAACAAAACCACAAATGCTGGAATATACAATAAATTTACATACACCCAGTCCAAAGGCTGAGACCCTTGTGCTGCACAGCACGGCGCCTTCTGATGGATGAAGGTAGAAAGTGTAGTAATTTACCTACTGGCGGGCACAACTAAGCTGCCACACGTTACCTGTTATTACCCTAAAAGAGCAGGAATCAGTGTATGGGTGTATGGTATGGGCTAGCCTGCGGTGCAGCACCACAATTTACAATCTTACACAAATCTTCAGTATTCCCCCTCCCATAACTGGTCCTGTAGCACGTGCCTGAGTATTCCTTCTGAGCAAAACGCCAGTCTGGCTTGAGTTTGTAGGATTTTATCAGCTCTCCAATGTGAAATGTCACTTTAAGTTGTGGAGTCCTTCCAATGATCAGTAACAACACTTGTGGCCTGACACAAACAGAGACCCTAACTAACTAACTATAGGCCTGTCTCAGTCCTATAGGCGCCAACACTGAAATGAGGTGTATGCATGATCTTACCGACCCGGGTCTGCTTTGCATCCGTTGGTGACTCTGAACGGAACAAATGTCTCTCCACGAAGCATGCGATATCACAGTATATATATTGCTTAGTTCCTCAGCTTCCCATCAGCTTCCTGGCAACAATCTTCCTTTCTTTGAACAGGGTTAGCGTCTTGAACACCATCAGCTTCACGCAACTGAATTTCTGATTACGGAGGGCTGTCCTCACATCTGGATGGCATCGGATTCTCAGATCACACATCCCCCCCTTCTCTTTCTCAAGCATGGTTGCTCTCCTCTCCTTTTCCTGTTCACTCTCCAAGTCTAAAACCCCACCCCTTCATGCATATAGAAATCTCTATGCAGTCTGAGGCTGTGTTAGAAAAAACAGTGACATCTTGTGGCTAAACTGCAGAATGTCAGTCAGAACATTTTTAATTTACTTCAATCAGTGTTCAAACAATGAAAGCTGTTTCCTCATCTCACAATAATAGCACAGGGCTTAAAATTTCAAGTCCTGAGCTACTTGCCAGGCCTAAGAGTTACTCGCCACCAACAAACACACACAAACAGACACCTGTACACACACACAGACATGTACATACACACACACATACACACACACGCACAGAGACACATGTACACACACACAAATACAGACACATGAATATACACACAGGCACGTACAGACATGCATACACACAGATACATGTACATACACAGAAATACACGCACACATACACATGTACATACACACAGACACATGTACATACATACAAAGACACATGTACACAGAGACACATGTACGTACATACACACAAACACACACATGTACATACACACACAGACACATGTACACACACACACAGACACATGCACACACACACATGCATGTACATACACGCAGACACATGTACAGATACACCCATGTACATACACACAGACACATGTACAATTGTACATGCATACACAGACACACACAAACACACACACACACACACACACGTACACGTACACACACACACACACACCCCCCCCCCCCATAAAAAGTTGCAGTACTTCATTGTTCACTCACAGATCTGGGTAGTGCATTCTAGGGGGAGGTAGAGAGCACAGCACACACTCCTTGCTTTGCTTTCACTGCGATCAGCTATTGAGCAGTCTGACGGCTCCCAGTGCCAATGACAGATCCGGCCTGAGCTCCGAGCCTGCTCAGCAAGACGGCCCTGGGGGACACACTCGCCCCCCCACCATAATTTCCACTCACCATTGGCAAGTAGGCGAGTGGAAATTTCAAGCCCTGCTATAGCAAATGGCAAGATTTAATCTATTTTGAAAACTTTAGGGCTAATGGTGACATAATTAACGACAGGGCTTCAATGCTGAACTGACTGACAAAATGACAATCCTGACAATACATGTGCCACAAATAGGCAATAGTTACTATACCTAGGCAACAAACTGGCAATCTTGACAATACATGAACAAAATAAAATTCTGACAATATAAATAGGCAACAACTGAACATTCATTACAATATGAAAGCAAACAGTTGGCAAGTGTGAAAACAGGTCAACAACAAAAGGACAATTACAAAAATGTATAGGCACCAGGGTGTGGGACTGAGCCATGATTATGGTGGTTGGGTGTTTGATTAGTGTCAGCAAAATGTGGGCTTGGCCTCATGGAAAACAGATATGGTTAAATAGTAGTTTATTGTTTTAAGCCACCAGCTCAAAAAATACTATGATTATCTGCCATTATGGGTTAATTCAGCATTATTAATGCTAGCAATTATAATATTATGTTATACTTGTATGAACCATGAGGTGCTATTGCAGACCTTCAACTACCCTATAAACTTAAAGAGGAACTTCACATGCTCTTTACATTTTTTTTTCTTATTACCTTGACAGTTGGGTTTTTCTTAAAAAAAAATACTCATCTCAGCATTCTGGGTCCTGTGCCACCATTTTCTTTACTGACATCATCAGAAGGTCTTGTCTCTTCCTGATTCTTGCCCTGATGATGCCTGTCACTCACAGTGCGATGGAGTTCTGTAGTAAACCCTCCAGTTGCAGGAGAAGCCAAAAGCTCTAGCGCAAAATATACAGTCTCTGGTAAGTTTTCCAACTTGGACACCCAATAGTCTATTGGGTACTCACTTCTGAGAATGTCCGCATTAGCCCTGGCTCTTATGTACTCAGGGATCATGTGGTTCAGACGCTCTCTGTGTGTGCTGCCTGCAGTGGGGCCAGGTCACTGTGTTTTAGATAAATTCACCATTGTACAACTTCTAGTGTTTGGGAGGGATAAAATGTATCCTTTAAAACCTGCCCTGCTTCATCCTCCTCACTGCCAGTACCTCAACCCTTCTCCTCCTCTGCCTCCTGCCTCTGTCCCAAAGAGATGGAGGCAATAGGCAAAGGATCCATGCAAGTCCTTGTCTTCCACCTGCCGATGTGCCTTCAGTATCCAGTCTATCTGTCCACAGACTGTGTACTCCAGGAGGAGCACAAGAGGAATGTTATGACCAATCCCCACTGTTATGGCTCACCATTTTGGCTGCCTCATTAAAAGGTGCCAATTTTCTGCATACATTTTGAATGATGAGGCTTTTATGTAGTGAAAAAAACACCATCTCTCCAGTGCCTGTCCTCGTACTGTTATTACACAGGTACCTGTTGATTACACACTGTAACTGGTGCAGCTAAGTGCAACGTAGTCAGCATTGAGTTCCAGCACATGGGGGTGTCATAGATGAGGTGGTTGGCAGGCAGCTGATGTTGGTTCTGCATTTCTGCCAGGCAAGCCATGGCCAAGTATGACCACCAAAAGTGTCCAGAAACCCTTCTGACCTGACAAAGGACCTTCTGAAAGCCAAGATAGTTCATGATGAGAGCCACTGAAACGCTAAGTTAACGACATGTGCCAGGCAGGGTATATGTGTGATTTTTTTTCCAGGTGAAAGGATGGCCAGCAGCTTATTGTCATCTTCACACACGACCTTGTCTGGCTGAAGATGGTGTGGGGTCATTGACCTATTGTCCTGGGCCTAAAGAGCTGCCAGCTATATCGCATATGGCATGTGGCTTCTGCCCCCAAGGTATATGAGCTGCAACACAACATGGAAACATTTAGCCTGCGACATTGTATATGCTCTGGGAGGTTTGGGGTGAACTGCTGATTCAAAGGAGTTGAAAGATGAGGAATAATTACAAGTGACTGCACTGTCACCACCTGACAAGGCACATGGCAACACCACCATCTCCCATCCTGCATCCTTCACAGCCACCAGAAGATTGACTCAGTGCCAAGAAGGATATGTAGTGTTCCTGTCCATGCTTACAGGACCACGTGTCTATGGTCATGTTTACCTTGGCACTGATGGGGTGGTTCAGTGACACTGACACATTGCATTCCACATGCTTATGGAGAGCAAGAATGCTCTTCTGGGCAAAATAATAACCAGACATTTTGTCCAGCTGGCATTGAAGACTATGAGCGAGGAGGTAATTTGGGGACATTTTGTCTTCAGCTCCAGCAACTGCAGAAGAGATACCTGTGTTGGGAAGGATTCTGTGGAAGATGACAGGTGGGCGACAGAGACTGTCTTTGCTTGATTCTCTTCAGCTTAGCCCCATGACCCTCTTTTCTTTTGATGTGGTATATCCTAATTAAAATTAAATATGCCTGTGCCATTTAGGGGAAAAGAACCTCTGAACCCAGCCTACCTATTACCTACCCACTGGTATTTGAACTAATAATATATAAAGTACAGCACTAGTATAGCTCTCTTAAAATATACTTTCTCTATAAATGTTCCATTAACACAATCATCATACCCTAAATTAATTCTAAATAAATTCTGCAATGCTTAAATAAATAGTTACATTGGCCAATTCATATTTCTCAAACCAATTACTATATAGTAAGGATGCTGGCACATAACAAAGTTGCCATTATAGCCCATTAGAAACCCTGCAGACCACATTTGAAAGGTCATGCGGAGCATTACATATCCTTTACAATTCAGTACAGTGAATTTCATTATAAATCAGAACCACAAACCTCGAATTCCCTGGATTCCTCACACACTAAGTGTGCAGAAATCCAAATCCTTCTGTTCAGCACTTGTTAAAACTGACTGAAGAGATGGCTTGTGGCGTAACTCAAAATCGCAGAGTCGCTTCTAATAACATGGAAGATTTGTAGCATGCATGAAACCCTACTGTGTATTATTATGTACAATTGCTCTTGCCTGATAAAGGTTCTTGTATGCTGTTGTTGGCATCCCCTCCTTCCTCACTGCATTAACTCTTTTTCAAGCATACAAACATCAGCCTGTGGGAAAGTGATTGGATGGAAGATGTAGTTGTTTCATTTATGCTGGCTAGACGCATCCAGTGGCTAACCAGCTGCAGATCATCCAGTAAATGATACAAAAAACTTCTTGAGATCTGTTTACTGCTGATGAAAAAAATTAGTAGAACACGGTTATTGCTAGTTGACGGCTGTGGGGCATATGTAATAACACATTGCAAGAGGTCATACAGTATACAGTATTCTTTAGAAAACGATCAGATGTCAGCATTAAATAGACAGGCTAATGATATTTTATATTCGGTTGTTTTGGTTAAACACAGGATTACTTTACAACATTATTAAACAGCTACCCCAGGCAAGAAATAAAATCATTGAACTGCTAGTGTAGTCCAGAAAACATTTAACTGCAGTAAAGGCAGAAGGTCTATTTAATAAAAAGTTGAACTTCAGATGGATTTATCGGATTCGGATTGGGACCGTGTATTCATGTACTCCCATAAATGCTCTAGTAACATCTCGATGCAGGAAAACGGCTACAAATTGGCCTCTAGATGGTACCCGCACTCCCCTCCAGAATTCATTGTTTTAACCCCTCCATCCCCAACGTGTGTTGGAGATGTGGGGCACCAGATGGTTCATTCCTCCATATCTGGTGGTCTTGTCCACTTATTCAACCATTCTGGCAGGAGGTCCATCGGCTGGAGGTATCAGTGACCACTCTGCCCGTAGTTTTCTCACCTGCTCAGCTTTTGCTCCATCATACCCCCATTCCTAAGAGTCAGTACTTCAACTCCCTAGCTATGCATATGATCAACGCAGCCAGACTCTGTCTCCCCGTTCTATGGGGCTCCTCCCACCCCCCATCCATATGCGAATGGCTCACTCGTGTGGGCAGAATGGCGGAAATGGAGGAACTGATTGCGGCTGCACTTGATATTCCAACCAAATACTCACATGTTTGGGCCTGCTGGACCCATTTTGTAACCACCCCTACATACCGATGCCTCATGGGCCAGGACTCCTGATTGAACTCAGCTCTACCACTGGTTATACTCCTCTTCCTTTTCATGGACTGGATGGTAATGACCTTCCTTCGGTGATTTATACCTGACTGCTTAACATTGGTGATAGTCTAGTCTTTAGACACATCCATTTATGACTTATTATATGAATGTCGACACAAACCCCGCAGCTCCCGCCTCCTATCCCTCACCCCCTCCCACTGTTTCCCTCTTTCCTCTCTCTCCCCCCTCTTCTCCCTCTGTGCTGTAGTGACATGGTTAGAATGATTTAAGCTTCAATTCTGTCAATTCAGTTAAAAGATCAGCAGAACTCCCCTCAAAGTCTAAATTGTTGAAAAATAAACCGTTATCCAAGGATTATAATCTAATAAATTTAATTTGATAGGTACACTAATTCACAGAAACAAATTAAACACCAGAAATTCAGGCAAGTGTGCTTAGACTACCAAGAGGGTGAGGTATACCCTTAGCTTACAAGACTCTAACAATCTTCTCGCTACACACCAACAGTGAGTTCACAAGAGTGGCCTGGTGATGGCAGTCATAAATCATTGACAAAATCTGGTAAGCCAACTGAGAAAATGTCCTAATCTAAAGGAACAAACATGAATAAGAACAGTTGTCTTCCAACAAAAGGCAATACAGCCCCCAGCAGGGTCATAAGAAGAATAAAATCCCCCACAGGGTACATCATACTAGGACAGGAGTCACAAAAAAATCCCCATCATAATTTTTTTTCATGTGCTGTTACCTTGTGATAAACAAGTGTTAAGTAAGGAACAATAATTTGTAGAAAAATATCATTCTTTTCTGAAGCCTGATAATACATATCAAATTACAGTAAAAAAATTAATTAATTCTACCTGGACACTCTAGCCCACAAAACTCTAAGGGTTGATTGTCAAACTGGTTCATAAAGGTGGAGCCATTGTAGTATTGGATTATTTTGAGTATTTATTT